ACAAATGGCTTACCGTCAGGTGACACAGCCCTCCAACACTGAGCTGTCACTGCTACTGGCACGTCCATCTTTGCTAGGTCTTCCTTCCAGGTTCATGCTCTCTAGACGCTTATAGTAGAAGTAAACTAACTCTTGTATCTTTTACCTACAGGTGAGCTTACAATAAAACTTACCTGTAGGAGGTAAAATTAATATCTCCTAAATATGCACCGTTTAGGAGATATATGCTCCTTTTTGTCTGCTGGCACATGCGCTCTGAAGGAACGGCATACCTGTTCCGTTCCTTAGGGCACTGTGCCGGTGTTCCTAGATGCCCAGTATGCGCTTATGTGTAGAAGTAAACTAGGTATGCTGACTCAGGTGAGCTTACAATAAAACAGTCAGAAAATTAATATCCAGGACCTGGAACCTGGAAGGAAGACTGGGTGAAGATGGAAGCCTCTGCAGCGGGGACACCGCACAGTTTGAGGGCTTCGTTTTTAAGGTAAATCCTGCGTAATGTGCTAGTATGCAATGTATATTAGTACATTATGACATTACCTTCCAGGGGATTTTTTTTTTTTCTCAAGTTGCAAATTACTACTGCTTTAAATGCTTCTGCATGGGAGTCACCATCAGGCAGCATGCCCAGAGTGCAGAATGAATTGTTTGTGCGTGAGTGATGTCGTCAGCTGGACTCCGAAATGGCACAGATTTCAAAAATTTTAAACGTACTTACAAGGTTTACATTTTACAAACTTTAAGATAGGGTAAAGCTCCAAAGCTGGGCTTAATACTGATTTAAGAGAAGATTTAAAAAAAAATAAAAAAAGAATGTCTTCCTGGGCTTCTCTAGCAGAGTCATTGATAGTGGCTGGTCCAGGGAGCCTTGTCATTGTGTAGCAGCACACTGTGCCAGGTAACATGGGCAGATAACAATGACTCAAATACATGTTCCGTGCTTTGGCTTGGTACATTCAACTAACCCGACAGCTGCAGGTTAGAGGATCTGGATAGTGGTCACATGAACACTGTAAGTGCCAAAATTAGGTTAATTGTGTGTTTGTTGGTGTCAGTGCTTGCTTGATTGTATATTTGAGCATTACAGCTGGGTGGGAGGTTAAGCTTTACTGACACTTTAACAGGGACTCAGTTAAAGATTAAAGTGTTACTAAACCCAGGACCCTGCATTCACTATATCCGGTCTCCCACAGTACACAGAACATGGAAATGCAATTATTTTAGTAAATATAACCTGCCAAATATCTTTTCTCATCAGCAGTGTATAGCAGTCTTGCGACTTCTATCAGTGTCCGGCTAAGCACTGGTTAATCTTCTAGGAGGAGTTTTCATTCTCCTTTGTCTTGTGAGGCTGCATGACCCCAGACCCTCTATCTGCACAGTGCTGATTGGCCCTGTGCCGAGCACATGCACCCCTCCCCCCCAAAACCCCCCCCCCCCCAAAAAAAACTCTCTAGCAAAATACACCAAACTGAGCATGTGCAGAGTGCCTCCTAGGGCTCTGTACTATCAGCAGATGGATTGGGGACTGTAGAAGAAGGGGAGGATCAGAGCAGACAGGATCAAACAGCCTTTGTACACTAATATATATATACATACATACAGTGAGTATAACGAGGATGCTTTACTGCATATACAGACTGATTTTACTGTTGTGGGTGTAGTAATACTTTAAGTGTGGCCAAAGTAAAAAAAAAAAAAAAAAGAGAAAAATCAGCACAAGGGACATAACTTGCAGTCAGGATGTGTCCCTTGTGTTGATTCCTCTGCTGTTATTAGAAATCCTCCTCCATCCTGCCCCCCCCCCTCCCGACTCCTAACATCAAGCCTAACTATGTCCACCCTTTCTGCTCAACTCTGGCAGTGTTCATAGCACTGTCCTCTCTTCCTGTCCCAGTAATACCCATGCACCCAATTTTTACAGGCTCAGGGACCAAGAGAAAATCTCCCCGGATCATAGACAGAAATAAAATAGAAATGTTGACTTCTCCCTTACCCTAAAGAGTTATGCCTTCACTCACACTAATATTTGTGTCACCTTTTTTGCTGCACAAATAACGTTTTTAGAATTGTTCATAGTAAATCTATTAAAAAAAGCATTTCTCGTGTATATCAATGCTATACTTGCTGGAAATGCTTGAAGTGGCTTTAAATTCATTCAGCTAAACAAAGACCGGCTGATTTTAATGCAGAACATTCATATACTCGTTTTCTTAACCTAAATAGTGAATCTATAATAATCTTGCAGAGATTTTAATTAAGAAGCGATCTTGACTGATGTCTGCTAAAGATTGAAAGCCCTGCACAGGATGATGGATGAGCCATCGGGAGTGATATAATGGAATGTACTGTTTTTTCATAATACAGTTTAGTATTCAGATTTCTCTCTATTCAGCACGCCATCATTGTGTCTGGTTTTCAATTTGCTTCCAGCTGCATGAGCCAATGTGTAATGAATTCCTGAGGACATACTGCATGTCTGTGGAGGATTTCATTGGGTTTGCAATAACATTTCCCACTGTGCACTTTATGTAACATGCTTCCACATCCAATTATTGAGTGTTTCTCTATCAGAAACGCCTTCTGCTCATTTTTGAATTCATCAAGTGTTTACAATGCAAGCATCAGATGGCCAGATGGTACTGCCGTTTTGTAAGGTTACACCTTTATGGATACAGAAAATGAGAGCTTGTGGAGGAGTTATTGGGGTTTATTCGCTGAAAGCAGTAAATGACCTGAAAGGCATATAGCCAAGGGAGGATCAAATGGATCATTTAATGCATAGCAGCATGGCTTCTCATATATCAGGACAGGTGCCCCCATTCAAGGAGATGGTGGGCAGCACCACACAACCATCTGAGACAAGCAGCAGTAAGGTTTCCGAGCCGGTGATGCCAGCAGCTGCTTTATTTGTAATGGACACAAGTACAGACTTAGTCCTCAACATGTCTGTAGTACCCTACTAACAAATGTCAGTCCATGCTGTCCAGGACATAAAGTCTGTTTTGGCTGTTTCATACTGTCCAGGACCATGAAGAAAGTCTCTAGTACCTGTATAATGCTGTCTCGGATCATGGGGAAAGTCTCGAATGGCTGTATCATGCTGTCTAGGACTATGGAGAATGTTTTTACTGGCTATATTATGCTTTTTAGGGCTGGAGAAAGTCTCTAGTGACTGTGTCATGTTGTATAGGACCATAGAAAACTTCTCTTATGGCTGTATAATACTGTCCATGACCATAGAGAAAGTCTGTAGTGGCTGTGTCATGCTGTATAGGAGCATAGAGAAAGTCTTTAATGGCTGTTTATTCTTTCCAGGAGCGTGGAGAAAGTCTTTAGGACCATAGAGAAATTCTGTAGTGGCTGTATCATTCTAGCCAGGACCATAGAGAAATTCTGTAGTGGCTGTATCTTACTGGCCAGGACCATAGAGAAATTCTGTAGTGGCTGTATCATACTGGCCAGGACCATAGAGAAATTCTGTAGTGGCTGTATCATACTGGCCAGGGCCATAGAGACATTATGTAGTGGCTGTATCATACTGGCCAGGGCCATAGAGAAAGTCTATCGTGGCTGTATCATACTGGCCAGGACCATAGAGAAATTCTGTAGTGGCTGTATCATACTGGCCAGGACCATAGAGAAATTCTGTAGTGGCTGTATCATACTGGCCAGGACCATAGAGACATTATGTAGTGGCTGTATCATACTGGCCAGGGCCATAGAGAAAGTCTATCGTGGCTGTATCATACTGGCCAGGACCATAGAGAAATTCTGTAGTGGCTGTATCATATTGGCCAGGACCATAGAGAAATTCTGTAGTGGCTGTATCATATTGGCCAGGACCATAGAGAAATTCTGTAGTGGCTGTATCATAGGGGTTTATTTTCTAAAGCTGGAGAGTGCAATATCAGGCTCACTTCTTCATAGAAACCAATCTGCTTCTAATCTCAATTTGTTCAACTAAGATATGGTAATAAAACCTGGAAGCTGATTGGTTTCTATGAAGAACTGAGGCTGATTTTGCACTCTCCAGCTTTGTAAATAACCCCCATACTGTCCAGAACCATAGAGAAAGTCTCTAGTGGCTGTATTAACCGGCCAGGACCATGGAGAAAGTCGCTGAATCATACTTTCCTGGACTATTGGAGAAAGTCTTTTCTGGCTGTTTAACCATTATGTGAGTTGCTGTGGTGGATATTTTGCCACCTCTTGTAGACAAACAGCATGCAGCTTTCAAACTCAACTACAGATAGATATCTATCTGCAGCTGTATATTCATTAACCCTTTGAGGACCAAGGGACGTATTTGTCCCATGTTTTTTTATTGCGTGTATAATCTGATTAAGAACTTAAAACTCTTTTTTTTTTTTTTGGTTTGAGTCAAAATATTAGTTCTTATCAACAAACAACAAATGGATCTAGCTTTTTGCCAATTATTTCATGAAATGGCTTAGTTACAGCAACTGAAGTGTACGAACTTTAAAAACAAAAAAATTGATTCTTTTGGCGTTCCAAAATCTTACGGTCCTCAAAGGGTTAAAAGTATTATAAAACTCATCTTGTATAAATACATACACACATTTGGCTTAACATCAGCCTCTTGTGATTCTCTGTACAGCAGAAGAAAAGGGAGGAACATCACTAGGAACCAGGTGTGCTACATACAATTATACTGACTTCAAATTAAAGCAAAGAGAGTGCCACTAAGTCCAACAGTCCAGAAATATTTTATTATTAAATAAATATATATATATCACACACAACCAACTCTAGGGTTTACAGAGAATGGTCCGAAAAATAGAAAATATCTAGTGAGCGGCAGTTGTGTGGACAAAAATGTCTTGTTGAGGACACAAGGAGAATGGACCACACACACACACACACACACACACACACACACACACACACACACACATTGCCAGAAGTATTGGGACTCCCCTCCAAATCATTGGATTCAGGTGCTCCAATCACCGCCATGACCACAGGTGTATAAAGACAAACGCCTAGGCATGCAGACAGCTTCTACAAACAATTGTGAGAGAATGGGTCACTCTCAGGAGCTCAGTGAATTCAAGCGTGGTACCGTGATAGGTTTCCACCTGTGCAATAAGTCCATCCGTGAAATTTCCTTGCTACTAAATATTCCACGGTCAACTGTTAGTGGCTTTATAACAAAGTGGAAGCAACTGGGAACAACAGAAACTCAGCCACGAAGTGGTAGGCCACGTAAAATGACAGAGTGGGGTCAGCGCAGGATGAAGTGCGCAGTGCGCAGCAGTTGCCAACTGTCTGCAAAGTCAATAGCGGAAGAACTCCAAACTTTACATGGCCTTCAGATTAGCACAACAACAGTGCGTAAAGAGCTTCATGGAATGGGTTTCCATGGCCGAGCAGCTGCATCCAAGCCTTACATCACCAAGTGCAATGCAAAGCGTCGGATGCAGTGGTGTAAAGCACCCCACCACTAGACTCTAGAGCAATGGAGATGTGTTCTCTGGAGTGACAGATCACGCTTCTCTGTCTGGCAATCTGATGGACGTGTCTGAGTTTGGCGGTTACCAGGAGAATGGTACTTCCAATGCCTGACTGCATTGTGCCAAGTGTAAAGTTTGGGGGAGGGGGGATTATGGTGCGGAGTTGATTGTCAGGGGTTGGGCTTGGCCCTTTAGTTCCAGTGAAGGAACCTCTTAAGGCGTCAGCATACCAAGACATTTTGGACAATTTCATGCTCTCAACTTTGTGGGAACAGTTTGGGGATGGCCCCTTCCTGTTCCAGCATGACTGCGCACCAGTGCACAAAGCAAGGGCCATAAAGACATGGATGAGTGAGTTTGGGGTGGAGAAACATGACTGGCCTGCACAGAGTCCTGACCTCAACCCAGTAGAACACCTTTGGGATGAATTAGAGTGGAGACTGCGAGGCAGGCCTGCTTGTCCTACATTAGTGCCAGACCCCACAAATGCGCCTCTGGAAGAATGGTCAAACATTCCCATAGACACACTCCTAAACCTTGTGGATAGCCTTCCCGGAAGAGTTGAAGCTGTTATAGATGCAAAGGGTGGGCCAACTCAATATTGAACCCTACGGACTAAGATTGGGATGCCATTAAAGTTAATGTGCGTGTAAAGGCAGGCGTCCCAATACTTTTGGCGATATAGTGTGTGTGTGTATGTATGTGTGTATGTATGTGTGTGTGTATATATATATATATATATATATATATATATATATGGCGTTCAAGTTAAACTTTGACTTTTGAGTTTGTATAATAAAAGAACACATTTCAAGGAGTGGAGACTGCAATTATTTTTCAACTTACTCCCCTGCTACATTTATACACTTATTCCAGCATTTATCTAACTCCTGGAAAGCTTCGGCATAGAAAGATTTGTTAGTACACCTGAACCATCCTAGGAGAGCCTGCTTCATTTCGTCATCAATGTGCTCACCATTCCCACAAAAAGATTAGTCTCTTGTGCAGTTTTATGACAGGTTATGTGTTGATTATCCAGGATCAGGTGTTCCACACGCTGTATGTTCACAGGAATGATTGCTGTGGGCTGGGATCCACCATGACCGGGATTGTCACTGATGAACGTTCGGCCATCTTTGAATTGTTTACACCATTCAAATACCCTACACTGTACTATGCTTGATGTCATCTGTAGATATCTGCGGGTTTTACCCCTTTGTTTACAAGTAACTTTGTCACCGCATGCTGTTCCATGCTTGCACTATCACTGTTGTCTGCCATCTTGATTAACAGTCTCTGGACTGGCCCGTGACATGTGCGCCGCTTATCAGTAATAGGACACACTCTCCACTTACTATTGCATGTAGTACCACCACGCCAGCATCCCTTTTTATATCTGTAATATTAAAAGTACCGTTTTGACTTGAGCGCCCCTCGTATATTTTTCAAATCTTCAATGTTGAATTTTGGACACACATTGTGTTGTACTGCACAATAGTTTGCCTAGCAATCTGCTTCAGGTCACCACTTATTATGTGAGCAGATCCATAGACTAGGAATAGATCGGAATCATTTGGTGAGATTTGTGGGTCGTATGAAGACCTGACAAGCTGGTTTAGAAACACTGAGGTTTAAAATAATTTGAAAATGCATTTTTCTATTGACTCCCTTCTGTTCCTAAGCAACAGAAAGGCATATTTGTGACCATGACCCTTTCAACCCACATCTTTTCTGATGTATTGCCTGCCCCCTGCTGACTAGTAAAAGCTGATGCCACTGCTCGGATAGTACAAAAACCATTTTCTAAGATTTTATTTCTTTTGCTTTTATTTTCAGCATGATGTAAGCATGGAATACAAAAGCAGGCGTTGGATAGAGACTTTAGTGAGAACAAATAAAAATGTGGTTTATATATTTTTTGTTTTACAGAATTTTAAATGATCTGTATTCATTAAGTTAAGAATTGTTGCTAAATGTCATCCTCTGCTGCTAATGGGCACGGTGTAGGGTGAGTAGTCCTCTTAATTAGAGAGAGATATTATTTATAGTTGTTATGTAGGGTGTTTAGAATCACATTTCAATTGAAGCTTATACAGCGTTACATTTTTTTGGGGGGCTTTCAGTTTGCTTTTGGATTTTGTGTACACAGTTTGTCCTATCCTTGTCATCAGCGTGAACCTGTCAGTTTGCCTATTTAGGGCAAAATGACAAATTCTGGTAGTTGTGCTCCTCCAACAATGGTTGTCCTCCAGCTCTGTTTCTGATACTTACTTTCCCTGTTTCCCCCCTCCACCTTATTTCTCTTTTGGAGCACTGGTTAGAAACCCTTAGCACAGTGTTTGGACTGTCCTTCAACCTCCATGTGACATTGCTTAGGCTTAGCAATTGGCTGCCCAAGGGTCAAGCAGAGAGGGTTACATGCTCCTCCATAATCGGAAGAATCACATGGCGCTGGATGTCAAACATGATGAAATTAAAGCCCATTTAATGTCTTGCACTGCTTTATTCACCCGGTAGTCTTGTAACATCTTGTGCTATGATTTGCAACTGATTTTCGCCTGAAACCGCCATAAAATACAGTTTTCTTTTTCTTGCTGGCATAGATAAGAAAGGGTCACATTCCTTATTGTAGATATCCTCATGCACATTTGTACTGCAGAAAAAGAGGTCTGCCTGACCAGGCCAAAGTGTATTGGACAGCATGGTCATACTCTGATGCTTATTGGATGGAGTGGTCCTATGTAGACACACTGGACAACTGTTGGAAAACAGAGGTGAAACTACATAAATGTCTATTTGACTGAATATTTAACTGTGTATTCAGTTGGGTTTTACAGTTGGGATTCGTGGTCCTCCCCAACATACCCAACAAACCTCTCTAGACTTCCTGAAAGCACTCCCCACTACCCTGTTTTTAAATCCCTATACTTACCATTTTACCAGCTTCTTCAGGCTGGTCTGGTGATGTTATTGGCCATTTCTCTTCTTCATTGTGGTAATGGGTAATCCTTCTCCTAGACAATGGTCTCCAGACTGCAGCCCTGAAGCTGGATGCCCTTATCAGTCCTTTGGGGAAATATTCCACCAACTCCTGAAGGTCAGTAAACTGGCTCTCTGTTTAAAAAGTTTGAAGACCCCTGCCCTAGACTGAGCTGTAGTCATTTAATGAGTTGTCATTATCACACTGTCCAGAAGTACTGTTCGTCTAAACTGTGTGATGACTTACCGCCAGAGGATGTGACATTTAAAACCCGTGTTCACAGGACGTGGGTTGGATGACATGGATTGTCATTCAACTCAGAAGATATGTAATGGCTGGAACAGGTGGTGGAAGTCTGCAGGGACAGCACTGAAGAGGAGGCAGCAAGAGCTGCTCTTTTATTTTAGTCATTCCTGGGCAATAGAATATGTGAAGGCAAGCTCTCTGGTGATGTTGTTTCTTTGCTTTGAAAGGACAAAATGCCAAGTTTAATTTAATTTTATGTCTGTCAATGGGAAATAACTTAAAAAAGTCAGCAATGATTTCAGGAGATATTGACAATGGCATTGTTAGTTAAAACAAAACTTTATTTCATTTGTTTTGCTTGTTCCCCTCATTGTGGGCAGAAGTAAAATGTGATTCTGGTCAGCTCTCCAGTGTAAAGTGTATGTATACAGAGAAAAAAGATGTGAAAGCTGAACTCCAGGTATGGTCTTAATTGCTTCGTTAGGCCTTGCTCACACATACCTAAGCGTAAATCCGTGGTTGCCCGCAGGAGGATTGTGAGTGTGTGCACACAAATACGGCCCTATCTTGGGTGTACACTTACTTACACCTGTGTGAAAGAGGCTGTCAGGACCCAGTTCTGAACCTGTGACCTCTGCTGTGTGTGGCGATGTCTCTTGTTACTGAGCTACTTGAGATGCTGGACAGCACACTTATAGCTCCCAACGGTCCCTGATTTTGAGGGACTGTCCCTCATTTGAAACAAAGTCCCTCTGTCCCTCTTTCCTCCTCATTTGTCCCTCATTTTGATCTGATCTATATAGTTGTATATAAATGCACTACTTATCTATCAAAATGTGTTTTACGGTGCTAAACCTTTCATCCAGTTTCTACGTTGCTGCATTTTTAAATTCCAAAAAACCAATATGAAGAAATAGTAGTTGTAAAAAAGCACTTGTGGGTTTAACCAATGATTTTTGTGTACAGTTCTCCTTTCAGAGGGGCGTGGCAGGGGGTGTGTCCTATGCCTACATATTTTTACCACTAGGTGTCCCTCATTCCCATCTCAGAAAGTTTGGAGGTATGTACACTGTCAGATCTATTGGACAATCCTGCTGTGTGCATTGTTTCTGCTGAACTTTGAACTCCTTGCTCCTCCCATGAACTTCCTATGTAAGCCATGTCTTTGCACTTCCTGTTTGCCAGATTATTCTGTCATCGTCAGGGGTCAGGCTTGGAGGTCAGTAGCTATAGCAGTAGAGAGGCTCCCACCAACCAGCTGGTCACCCTGTCAGATGACGCAGGCTCACTCGAGGCGCTGGGTATAAGCACTAACCAGTGTTCACCAGAGCTCCTGATGGTGGAGATGGGTTTTGTTGCATGTTAGTACCAGGTCACGGTCCTCAGGATTGCCCCACCAGAAGGTGAGCAAGCCAGGGTCCAGTAGCAGATATATCAGGTAGGGATAAGCAGAAGCATAGTTCGTAAACAAGACAAAAGTTGGTCACATGTGATTGCAGGTTGGGATTAACCCTTTCACGCCTAAGGGTAAAACAAATCTTAACGCCTAAGCACAATTTTGCAACATTGACATGTGTTAGTAAAACCGTACATATCATCACAACTACATTGTACATCCAGGTGAATTATACCTTGTTTTTTTCAGGACAAATAGTGTTTTCATTTTGTGGTAAATGGTAATAAATATCTCTTGATTTCTTGATTTTTTTTTTTTATTATCAAAGGAAAACTGGTCCAAACTAGTAAAATTTTTTTTTTTTTTTAAATTTATGTTTCTTTTTACTATCATCACCTACCACCAAAGAACAACCCAAAATAAATTTTCCAGCTCTTGACGATCGCTACTATACCATATATGTGTATGTTAATTGTTGTTTGTAACAGTACTACAGACCAGAATCAATGGTGTATGTGTTGTTGTTTGTTTGTTTTTTTATTTACCTAAAACACACTGACACTGATTGACACTGATATCATTTAAAAAGAAAAAAATCCTGACCTTTGACCCTGACCTTGACCCAAACACTAACCCTGGCACTGAACTAGATCAAACCTTGATCTAGTTATTTTTTCTTTGTTATTTATTTATTAATATTTATTTAATCTTTTTTTTTTTACAGTTGTTTTTTTTCCCCTGTATGCAAGGAGAGAGAGAGATACAATGTATATCTCTCCTCCATTCAGAGAGAAAAAAAAACAAGGGGGACAGGCGTCACAGTGAATGATCACTTTGATAGCCAATCAGAGGCTATCACAGCGATCATGTGACCCAGAATCGACAGTCCGGGGTCCCGATCGGTAGAACGGGACTCGGGGCTCTCAGTGACACCCCGGTCTTTGTGCTGGGAGCATGCTGTATGGCGCGCACCCAGCACAAAGACAGGTACGCAAATATGCGGCCCCACAGAAAAAAAGCCCAGTTCTGTGAGGCCACATATTTGTGTTACGTCGGCATCAAGGAGTTAAACAGAAGCATAGTTGAGGAACAAGCTAAAGGTTGGTAATGCACAGTGGCTAAGTGGTTAGAACGTCCGCCTGGCAGTACTAGGGTTGTTGGTTCAAATCCCAGCCACGGCACCACCTGCCTGGAGTTTGCATGTTCTCCCTGTGCCTGTGTGGATTTCCTCAGTTACTCTGGTTTCCTCCCACACTCCAAAGACATGCTAGTAGGTTAATTGGATTCTGTCTAAATTGTCCCCAGTATGTGTATGTATGAATGTGAGTTAGGGACCTTAGATTGTACGCCCCTTGAGGGTTAGGGACTGATGTGAATGTACAATATATAATGCGCTGAATAAATTGACAGTGCTATATAAGTACCTGAAATAAATACATAAATAATGGGTGGTAGCGAAGATACGGCTGACAGCAGGAGTCAGCAAGATATTGGCTGGAGAAGAGCACAATAATCTGGCAAACAGGAAGTGCAGAGAAATGTCTTAAATGGGAAGTTCATGGGAGGAGTAAGGAGTTGAAGGTTCTGGAGAAACAAGGCACAAGGCAGGATTGTCCACTGGATCTGACAGGGTGCTGGTCAGCATCTCAGGTAGCTCAGCAAGAACAGACAACGCCAGATGCAGCAGAGGTTGTAGGTTCAGAGCCGGGTCCTGACATCTGCATCATATGCATTGCAGTGTAAGCATGCATATGTAATACCCCAGGAACCGCTGGGGAAGCTGACCATCACTGTAGTAGTAGGCATAAGCAAGCAGGGAACCCTTGCAGTGCAGGCACATCCCTACTGCAGGGGAGAACTTTTCGTTTTCTTGGAGTTCCACTTTGCGTTTTCCGCCATCCACGCATATAACATGCCGTTTTTTAAAAAGCATTGTTGCATGAAAAATGTAATATGATCATCAGCTGATTCATTCTAAATCTCCTTTGATAAACAATCACATGTATGTCAATAAAACGAGAAAAGCGAGGGTAGTGTGAGAAACAAATGGAGAACGTAAAGCTGAGGGTGGAAATGATATGTTTTTCATGCTTCGCTTTGTATCTGGGCCAAAGAAAAGTAGATCAGAGAGCAAAACAATGCTCAAGTTTAGCTGGCTCAAGGAAAAGCAGCTTTCACTAATCACTCGGTCTGCTTATGTTTATGGCTCAGCGAATCAAAATATAAACAGGGAGTTTATGTTTGTATCGTTTGTACAGCCCAACAGGGAACATTCTTACCAAAACCACAGGAAATGAAAACGCTTGTTTAAAATGTATTGTTTTTTTTTTCAGTGTTTTATGTGATGAAATGAAAGCATTGTGAAAATGCTGTGCTATAACATGACTGTATCAAGCCCACAAACTGTCATTTGGCAACAGCTGGAAGATTTAATTTATTCTTTTGTTATGTGGAACAAACATGTTACATAGTGCTTTACAAAGTACAGAGGATATACAATGTTCCCTTCTTGCAAAGGAGCTTACAGTCTACTGTCCTTGCCACATTTGTACACAGCACTCAATAATGTTGGACCACTTTAGTTAGACTCCAGTTAACCTGTCACTATATTCTGGGATTGTGGGAGGAAATCGGGGCACATGAAAGAAACTCAGAGCCGAAGTCAAAGTTCCTCTTTTCAAGAAAATAGAAAATGTGGTTAAGGTGCCCCAATAGACATTAAAAATGTGCAGGTCTGTAAAATGTTACATTTTTTGTCATAGCTGTAGGCCAGTTGGGTCCCCCCAGAAAATCTGGCTCAAAAACGCTCAGCTATCCCCACATACTGCCTTTAGGCTAGAATGTAAAAAGTGTCAGTTTACTCTCTTGTGATGTTGGGAGTGAGCAACAAGGCAAGGCATGGGGATTACTAACAGAGTTTTTCATCCAGGCTTCTCAGGGAACCTAAATGGCTTAGAGGTTTGGCAATAAAATTAATGAACATTTGACAAAGCTAAAACATTTCTTAATATCCCCTAAGGCCCCTTGAGTGCACAGGCTTGTTTCTAGAAAAAGTTGACTCAGCCTTTAAAGCAGGGGTCTCCAAATTGTGGCCCACGGGCTGGATGTGGCCCTCTGCTTGCTGTTATCTGCTCTTGGGGCACTTTTCCTTCCACTGATACGAAGCACTATTCCTTCCATGACACCAACAATGGGGCACTATTCTTCCCACTGACACAAACGATTGAACGCTATTTCTCCGACTGACACCAATAAGGGAGCACTATTCCTTTGACTGACACCAACAATGGGGTGCTATTCCTCCCTCTGACACCAACAGTGGAGCACTATTCCTCCCACTGACATCTATGATTGGGTGCTATTCCTCCCACTGACACCAATGATGGGGCACTGTTCCTCCCACTGACCCCAACGATGGGGCACTGTTCCTCCCACTGATCTCAACGATGGGGCACTGTTCCTCCCACTGATCTCAACGATGGGGCACTGTTCCTCCCACTGATCTCAACGATGGGGCACTGTTCCTCCCACTGACCCCAACAACGGGGCACTGTTCCTCCCACTGACCCAAACGACGGGGCACTGTTCCTCCCACTGACACCAACAACGGGGCACTGTTCCTCCCATTGACACCAATGACAGGGCACTGTTCCTCCCACTGATACCAGAAATGGAGAACTAAATATCCCACTGACACCAAAGATGGGGCACTGTTTCTCCCACTGACCACCAAGCCTAGGGTATTGTTTACTCCCATTGATACCGGGGCATTTTCTACTCCCACTGGCCACAATCTGGTCTCCCTAAAGTTTAAAAAGGCCGTAAACTGGCCCATTGTTTTAAATGTTTGGAGACCCCTGCTTTAAAGAATGCAAAGACACCATCCAGGTAGTATCCCTGCTGGATATTAAACCCTGATGATGCACAGCAAGCCTAAAAAAACTAAATGTATCACAATTTTATTTCTATTTTATTTTTCTTTTTTATGGTCAGGACTTTTTTTTTCAAAAAGTAAAATATAACATAAATATTGTAAATTTTTCTATTCAGCCATTAGATGGAGCTCTAGTATCCTTTTCATATCATCTTCTATTTTTTGTTTCAGCTATGTTGAAAGAAGTTAGTTGTTTACAGAATAAAACAAGTAATCACAACTGTGATTCATCCCTTATCAGTACTAACCCAGGGATAAGCAACATCAGCAAGGTTCTAACCCAGGGGTAAGCAATGTCAACAAGGTTCTAACCCAGGAGTAAGCAATGTCAGCAAGGATCTAACCCAGGGGTAAGCAATGTCAGCAAAGTTCTAACCCAGAAGTAAGCAACGTCAGTAAGGTTCTAACCAGGGGTGGACTGACCATTTGGAAACTCGGGCACTGCCCGAGGGCCCGGGGTCAGTAGTGGGCCCCATGAGATGCCCTGGTACCTTTTTCATAAGCTTTTTTGAGTTTGGGCAAGGACACAGGCCCCATGATCCCCTATTACCCGGGGGCCCCATGAGTTGTCAGTCCACCCCTGGTTCTAACACAGGGGTAAGCAATGTCAGCAAGGTTCTAACCCAAGGTAAGCAATGTCAGCAAGGTTCTAACCCAGGGGTAAGCAATGTCAGCAAGGTTCTAACCAAGGGGTAAGCAATGTCAGCAAGGTTCTAACCCAGGGGTAAGCAATGTCAGCAAGGTTCTAACCCAAGGTAAGCAATGTCAGCAAGGTTCTAACCCAGGGGTAAGCAACGTCAACAAGGTTCTAACCCAGGGGTAAGCAATGTCAGCACTCCACCTGTGTTGAAACTGGAAATTCCATTATGTCTCTGCCACTGGGTGTCATGCTTGTGGCTGTCAGGGCCTTGCAATGTCTCATGGGTTTTATAGTTTTACCACAGCTGGAGTGTCGAGATTGCCTACCCCTGTTGCCCCCTGACAAAAGAGCTGCAAAGCTGTACTACCTGTTTAGCTAACCCATAGTGCTGTGGGAATCATTTGACATGGATTACAGGTATAGCTAAGGAACATATAAAACAAAACAATATGGTTGGTAATACAGCTTGTGGTCTCAGAACCTCATTTGGCAATATATTGCACATTTGCTTGTTTAGGGGCCTTGATCTGAAATAGTAAAGCTTCTGACCATCTTTTTTATTTTTGACCATCTGCAAAGATGGAAGAATGTAAGAAACATTCTTCATCCTTGCTATTCATAATCTCACAGTATGGCTGCTGCTGAAAGACTAATGTAGTGTGGTTTTCAAATGAAGACAGATAAGGTGAAGAGTTTCCATGGCCAAGTGCCAGGAAATTTGGTTGCTTTTCTGGTAGGATAAAATGCTTTGTAGTATGAGTCCAAAAGCGAAAGAAAAATGATCAGCACGCTTTTCTTATAGAACTATGGAAAGCCTTGCTATTGTGGAGAGTGTGTCAATGTGATAGTTTGTGCATGATTGCTGTGTGTTCTTTGTGGCTATAGGCTTGTGATCTATTATACTGTCTATTAAAGTTTTCTCTAGTGGACATGCAGGTATCTCGTGAATTTTGCAATTTTTTTCAGAAATGACAGTTTATTTTGCATGAATGGAAATGTAAAGATATTTTTAAATAGGACTATCACTTTTATAGAAGCCTAATCGTCCATATTTTTGTTACTGTATTAAATATTAAGATTAGTAATTCAACCTCTAGGGGAAGATCTCAGTACTCCAACTATACCTTGCTCTATTAAATCCCCTTAAATTTGGTGCATGGTATCCACAATCACATTGGAAATGAACTATTCTGTAGGAAATTATACAAAATGTAGATTAGGGTATTGCTAAAGCTATGAACAAAATATAATGTATTTTAGTTTACCGCAAATTACCACAATTTAGATACATTATATGCAAACATACAGTTAGATAGTTTTATTTTTTCAGGCTTTGTGTCTGTGCACTGAATTGAAATCTCAAACAATGCTATCAGTCTTTTCAACTATCTTCTGGGAACTATACAGCCTAACAAAGGTGAAGAGAGGGTGAGCTGTTTGTAGCCTGTAGTGACAACACTGCTCCTTCTTAGACACAATGCGGTGAGTGAACATTTCAAGTTTAGGATAGGAGCATGTTATTGGCAGGATCGCCAGGTGAAAATAAAGGAAAAACTATCCTAAGAAAAAAAAAAAAAACCTAATGCCGCCAAAATATATTAACTCCTTAAGGGCTAGTTCACACTAGATGCAGTTCAGTGCGCTTTTTTTTCTGCATCAAAAATGCATGCACAGTGTTTTCCATGTATTCAAATGGACTCAGTTCATACCAGTGCAGTTCGTTCCAGTCAGTTTACAGCGCAGAAAAAAAAGTAGAACATGCTGCATTTTTTTTCTGCAAAACCATACTGGAACATAGCAAACTGCATCAAAACTGCACCAGAACTGTGTGTGGTGAGAACTGTAAGTAAAAACGTATCTGGAATGCAACCGGAGTGCGTTTTTTGTAGTGTGAACTGGCCCTTACACCGGTGCTTCCCAGCCCTTTAAGAGGTTTCTGATGCCAGGAGGTGGGGCTGGGTTTTTGATCATGTGACCACCATGATTGGCTGTCACGGCGGCCACATGAGCAGAAAGCTCCCGATCTCTACTTTCCGCTAGCCACTGGTAACTGTGCTAGGAGCGTGCAGGGCGCGCACGCTATCAGCACAGTTCTGTTTACATTCTGATTCGCATATATGCTGCATTAATGCACACCCGCTGAGAGGCCGCATATATGCATACTGCTAGTGCGAAGAGGTTTTAATCTGGTCATACACTATACAATCTGATTGTACAATCTCTGAACAATTTCCTTTAGACTTTCCAAAACCAGCGCCGCTTAGCCTAGTGTCTGCAAACTTCTGGTATTGGCGTGATGATGTCACTGGTCCCAGTCTGATGCATTTTGTCACAACCCATGACTTTCTCAAAGGAATCCCATCACAGTATATACATTTATGGGACTTTGTTTTTGTGCATATCCATTGTCGAATTAAGTTTCAACATGCAAGATCATTTTTATACATATTTACTTGAGTTGGTATAATTAAATCCATCAAGCAGGGTCATTTTTGGCGATTTAATTTTGAGGTTTTGTACCTATACAGCAGCGCCACACTTTATGGAGTAAGATCTTTAGAGGTGTGGGAACACGTTTCAGTCCTGGCTGGCTGCAGTTACATATATTTTGTATGTAATTGATTGGATTAGAGTGTTAGGCACTGGAGTGATTAAAGTTGAAGAGCGAGAGTAGTTTGTGTTTCACTCTTTGTCTCTGATAGCAACCAGCCATATTTAGCCCTGGTTCACACTGATGCGGTGCAGAATTTGCAGCGTTTTCAGTGCATGTTCCGCACCGCATACAAATTGCATGTGATTTGTACAGGAATGCCGCCACTGTAGTGTGAACCTAGGCTGACAGTCCTGAATTCTTTTATCCTTTTTTTTTTATTTGCATAATGTTTAGTTGCTATGGAAAACACAAATGTTTCTTTTCTTTGACATTGTCAGATATGTAGATCGTTGTATTGGTTGATGTTTTTGACATCATGGTAACTAATAAAAAGCCCTGCTGTAGTCCCTTTCATTGTATGACAGCTATCTAGTAATCGATACATTGCAGAACCAATGTTTACCCCCTCCCGCAGAAATGACTGGCTCTGGGATATTTTGCTGGAAGCTGATGTTTCTGCTTCAAGATGACTGTAATTTTGTCACGCCAGCTGTGCTGTTGCAATCTCCGGAGTCTTTTCATGTAGCCATTATATGACCCAAGCTCTGAGTACAGCTTTTATGTGTAGACAGGCTTTGGAATTTGCCCTGTATTGTTTGCACATGGATGTAAACACATGGATGTCCTGCTTTCATTGCACTCATTTTGTTCTATGAAGAGCAAGATCTGAATTTTAGATGCTGCTGAGTTGTATATAAATAACACAGAGATCTGCTGAAATGTGCAACAGATTTATATCCAGTGCTGGACCTCCCTTCTAGTTACACTTTGAGTTTTGCATTTGAGTAAAGGTTTTCAAAAATGACTGTTAAGGTGACATTGAATGATATCCTTATTCCCCAAAAATTATCCATACACATCCACTACTTAGTATCCCTGTAATTGATTTCTCATGAAATTGTCTCTGACTGTGTTTTTCTGCCTCTTTGTAATGTCTTCCGTGAGCTCCCAAACGTCCCCTTTTCCATCTCACTTCTCTGTTTGGAATGAGCAGTGCATGTTGATTGCGGTCATGTACACTGCTCTATGCACACTACACATCCATAGTCCATCTCCGGAGCCAGAACAAGAGCATGGAGAATTAATGTAGCCACCCTCCAACATAAAGTCAGATCACAGCGGAAAAGAGAAAAAGGAATTGAGAGATTTGGCAAAGGCGGAGAGAAATAGAAAGTTTTTTTTTTTTTTTTAGTTAAGAATACGTACCCTTTTTTTACACGATGACAGGTACTTATATAGTGCTGTAAATTTACACAGTGCTTTACATTATACATATATATATATATATATATATATATATATATATATATATATACAGGGGCAGACAAACAACTCATGGGGCCCCCGGGCAATAGGGGATCATGGGGCCCCTGTGTCCTTGTTCAAACTCAAAAAAGCCTATGAAAAAGGTACCAGGGGCATCTCAGGGGCCCCCTACTGACCCCGGTCCCTCGGGCAGTGCCCGAGTTTCCAAATGGTCAGTCCGCCCCTGGTCAGAGCAAGAAAACATCACCAGCACATCATGAAACTTCCAGGATATGTCCAAAGCTGTATTCAGTAATCACACTGTTACAGCAGAAGCAACATTTCCGAGCTACGTAGGACCCCTTCATCAGTCATGTGACAAAGGGGTTGATCTACTGAAACTGGAGAGTACAAATTTTGGTGCAGCTTTGTATAGAAACCAATCAGCTTACAGGTTTTTTTTTTTTGCCAAAGCTTAATTGAACAAGCTGAATTGAGAAGCTGATTGGCTGGAAGAAATAGAGGACATAGTGCTTTACCTTTTAAAAAACCATTTTTATTCCCACCATCCAAGTATTACACTCACATTAGACAGGTTTAAATAACGCAATATCCCATAGGAAATCCTCTGCTGGCCTCTGAGTCATACACCTGCCGTCTATCGTGTTGTGCAGCTCCTCTCCGAGTGATGACGTAGCCCCTCCCCTACGCGTTACGCCTCCAATCACGTGGCTTTCATCAGGGGGTTGTGATCATCACTAAGATCAAGCACTATGTCCTCTATTTCTTTCTTAGCATGCGGAGTAATACAAGGAGGAAAATTAGGAGGTCTGGGATAACAAAAGGAGTGTGTAATCCCTGAGGGGATAATCAGCCACCAGAGGATACATCCATTACTCCTAAAGGAAGGATCTCCCAATTTTACCAGCAAAAGTATATGTCCAGCAGGTTCCAGGGAAAGTGAACCGAAAGCGTGTATAGCCTAATTGCAGGCATCAAAGGAGGTGAGCGCACATCTTCACTATTTGAAGGATTCACAAAAGTCACAAATTGAAGAACAACAAGCACCAAGTCACTATATATAAACAATTGTTTATTCAATGGGACTATTATTTTGATGATATTTGGATTCATACTAATCACTATTAATTATTTATGAGCATTTGGTTATGTTTATATATGGGGGATCATTTAAATGCGTTTTAGTTGAGGGTTACTAGTTGGTTCACTATTTTTATTATATTAAATGAGGGTATTATGAATATAAATGAAATTGAGGGTATTAGTAAACACATCATGTCACTAATAGATGATTTATGAGCACTTGGCAAAATATTTTTTTTTAGAGGAGTATTTCATGTGGAATTATTTTGATATTTATTGGGAGGAGATTGATTAGCTGAAATTATCTATTTAAATATTCTTTGGTATGTATACACTTTTATTAGTTATTTGTATCATACTTTGAATTAATTTAATGTTAATAATTTAATTATTATTTATTATTGAAGTATTTAGGAGCGCAACATATATTTGCAGATGTTATGATGTCACTTCCGGGTCCCCGGTCAAAGATTTCCCGGCCATCGAGGCCGGGAAAGAATGTAATGCAGTGTAAGGTGCACTGCATTACATTCAGGAGAGGCATCCAGGGTGTTTTTTAGACCCTGGATGTCTCAATAAAGAGAACCTGTCACCAAATAATGAAAAAAAAGTAAGTAAAAGAAAAAAGTTTTTGTTTTTATTGTAAAGTATCAAAGTTACACCCAAGTACATAACATCCCCCCCCAAAAAAATTGATGCCCCCCCCACATATACCCATGACAAACGTAAAAGCACAAGCTGGGGCCCTACCCATGAAAACATTGATTGCCATACACATGTATGTGCACGCCAGAATGAGAGCAATAATTCTAGCATGAGACCTCCTCTGTAACACTATATTGATGACCTATAAGGGGCTTTAGAATTGTCGCCTATAGAAAATACGGGGTACTGAAGTTAGTCGCCATTTCAGAAGCACATGCAAATTTAAGTTTTGACATGTTGGATATCTATTTACTCGGTGCAACCTCATCTTTTATATTTTATAAAAAAAATTGGTAAATTTTTGTTGTGCCCTAAAATTAACTTACTTGGATTTTTACTAAAATTTTGCGGTAATATTGTGTACCACTATTTTATTCTCTAGGGTATCTGCTTTTTTAGAAAATATATCATGTTTGGGGGTTTTGTGTAATCTTCAGGCCTAAAATGATTTTTAAGCGTGTGCAAAAAATGCAAAAATGACTCTGGCAGCGGAAGGGATAAAGGATAAGCCAGACAATCACTGGGGGATTAGTAAACACCACTTTCCTGACAAGCACCCAATCCATTGCTCATTACACTGCAAGGTCTCTCTCCTCCCGTGCTGGAGACAGGCAGGGAGGGGAGGAGAGATAAACAGCGCAATGTTAAAATTATTACACGTTTATGTCTCCATAAAGCCCCTTTTGATTTTAAAAGCCCCAGACATTCCTAAAATCACCTCTGCTTTAAATACGGTTTTGGTTCAAGTTTATTTTTTTTTATCTGAACAAGTACATTGTCATGAGGGACAAGTAGATTGGGGTACCGATTTAGTCCCTGGACAAGTAGTTTTTTCAAAAATTTCCACACCCTGCACATACTAGGACCAATTTAGACAGGATTCAATTAACCTACCAGCATGTCTTTGGAGTGTGGGAGGAAACCCATGCAGGCACAGGGAGAACATGCAAACTCCAGGCAGATGGTGAAATGGTTGGGATTTGAACCAACAACCCTAGTACTGCCAGGTGGAAGTGCTAACCATTTGGCCACTGGTTTAGTTCCACTTTAGGTGGCATTCAGACTGTAGTTTCTTTAGAACAATATACTGTACCAATATAGGTTGGGCATTTTTATTGTTTGTGGCAATAAATTGCAGAATGTTACCTATTGTTACCAATATTGTTATTGGGGTTACTGGGGTACTGTAGATATAGCTGCCTCTAGGTGTGTTTCTGAATACTGCTCACATTATTTCCAGTAAAAGGTCAGCTCTTGGCATATGTCATCTCCATTCACTTTCTTTCATAGCCCAGGGGCAGATGTCTATCTTTAACGTCACCTTGGGTTTATTTTAAAAAGTCAACACAAGGAATAAGAAAAAAAGAAAAAAAAGTGCTTGTTGTGTCTAGAGCAGGGGTGGGCAAACTTTTTGACTTGAGGGCCGCAATGGGTTCATATATTGGACCCGGGGGCCGGACCAAGAGTAGATGAATGATGTGTATGTGTCATCCATAGTAAGTATAGTAATATTCCCCCATAGTAAGCATAGTAATAATTAATCCCCCATAGTAATTAATCCCCCTATAGTAATTAATCCCCCATATAGTAATTCATCCCCCATAGTAATTCATCCCCCATATAGTAATTCATCCCCCATAGTAATTCATCCCCCATATAGTAATTCGTCCCCCATATAGTAATTCGTCCCCCATATAGTAATTCGTCCCCCATAGTAATTCATCCCCCCTATAGTAATTCATCCCCCATAGTAATTCATCCCCCATATAGTAATTCATCCCCCATAGTAATTCATCCCCCATATAGTAATTCATCCCCCACATAGTAATTCATCCCCCATATTAATTCATCCCCCATATAGTAAAATTCATCCCCCATATAGTAAGTCCCCCATATAGTAATTCATTCCCCATATAGTAAGTCCTCCATATAGTAATTCATTCCCCATATAGTAAGTCCCCCATATAGTAATTCATTCCCCATATAGTAAGTCCTCCATATAGTAATTCATTCCCCATATAGTAAGTCCTCCATATAGTAATTCATCCCCCATATAGTAAGTCCTCCATATAGTAATTCATTCCCCATATAGTAAGTCCCCCATATAGTAATTCATTCCCCATATAGTAAGTCCCCCATATAGTAATTCATTCCCCATATAGTAAGTCCCCCCATATAGTAATTCATTCCCCATATAGTAAGTCCCCCATATAGTAATTCATTCCCCATATAGTAAGTCCCCCATATAGTAATTCATCCCCCATATAGTAAATGTCCCCCCCCTGTGTCAATTCACTTACCTTTGGTCCGCGCGTTCCTCTCGTATTCCCGCGCCGTTCTGGTCTTCAGGGAGGACTGTGAGAGGAGTTCGTCACGCTGCCCCGCCTACATCCTGACAGCTGCAGAGTCCTGACGTCTGAGAGGAGGGAGGGGGGCGGCCATCCGAGAGGGGGGGCGGCCATCCGAGAGGAGAGGAGGGGAGGGGAGAGGAGGAGAGGAGGGGAGGGGAGAGGAGGAGAGGAGGGAGGGGAGCGGGCGCCCGGCACACAGGAGAGCCGCATCTAAATTTGTAAAGAGCCGCGGCTTGCCGACCACTGGCCTTGCGGGAGCCTAGCTCCGCGGGCCGGATTTTAAAAGGTCCGCCGGGCCGTATACGGCCCGCGGGCCGTAGTTTGCCCATTGCTGGTCTAGAGGCAGAGGAACAGTCATTATTACTTAACATGTTCCTCGCTCCAGTGCTGCCTTTTTCTTTCTGAAGCTTTGGTCTACTCTAAGGGAAGTCCTTCAGCATCATCATGTACAGTGCAATGTATGTGGAAGGGGTGACCGTGGCGGGGAGTACCTTAAAGAAGAGGCTTTGGCGATCCAAACACAATGCTGGGGGAACCCTGCTGGTATGCAAAATAGAATAAGTATTTCTTCTTATTCCATCATCCCTAAACGTAACATGCATTTAACCCTTACAGTGCAGAGTGAAGGGGAACTGCAAGGGTATTTAATTGTGACCAATGTTGGGATTAAAGCCCAGTCTAAGCATCCTCCCCCTGCCTCCTCAGTCCTCTCACCTACAGGTATAGAAGGGATAACCAGCTCTCTTCTTTTAGTTCTCTGAGTTCTTTGTAAAATAATGTATTTGGAAGCACACATTGTAAAAGTTTAAATTTGACTAGTTATGCAGCAGAGAGAAAATACATTACACAGTGCAGTTCTCAGGAAGTACACACCCAATGACCCTGTATTGAGAAGTGTGTACTGGTGGGATGGAGCCAAGCCCCAAACCACTCTCTGATTGCACTCCAAAATAGATTTCAGCAGTCTATATGGAAAGAAGACTTTCCCTCTTAACATTGGTATGGCATGTAATGATAGAAACAATGGTGAAGCACTAGCAATGTAATACAGATATAAATGACATAAAGAGTACATATAAACAGAAAAAAGTAAATGATGCATAAACGTGAAGTGAACATACAAAGTGATGATCCGATCGGATCTAATGAGGTGCTGCAAGAGTGGAACAGGTAGACCTG